AATACAGTGGTTTGGCCGTAGATGGCACCACTATTTCTAAATTGCGCACTTTTCATTGATTACACATAATTGCGCAAAAAATGGGGATGACACTGCGGAAAGGAAGCTTTTGAAAGTTAGAACGTTAATTTGATTCGTCAACAATTCAAAAATTCCATTTATTAGCCGAGAAATTTGATCTTTCATATGTGTTGTAAAAATATTAGTTTTGTGCTTTTGTCGCTACGCGACGCTAATGTTTCAGTGTCTATGAACTAACCAAACTTTCATTTGCAAGAAAAACCGGATTGACTTTTAATCGTTTATATTTTCTATCTTTCTAATCGAAGCCCCGGCTTTCTTCCTTCGTACTAATCAATCTTTGAAATATGCACATAATACGTAATTACAATTGCATGCATTGTAGAAGCATGCCATCCTCGTACAATCAACATGGCGGCTTCTACAAAATAGTAAATAAAAGTGATAAGTTTTTTATTTCTCAATAAACTTCATAGAAAAAGTGCAACTGTTTACTGTTTTTATTTACAATACCCATTACTACAGGATGACGACAAACGACGTTCATGCTGCGTGAAGCGGACTTTCCATTATCTCTGTACGTTTTTCTCTCAATATTCATGTGTTTTGTTAACATGTGTAAGCGCGCATTTCGCAACACATTGCGAATTTCAATTCGTAGACGAAAATGGAATTTCGAAATAAACTGTATCTATTTTCAAAGTAACTCGTAGCAGTGATATTTCGTCGTCATTCGTTTGCTTGTTGATTTCAAAAAGATAACTTTCATATTTCTTTTTTTTTGTTTTTTATGTAGAATTTAGATGTTTATGCGACATTCATTGCAATTAATATTACATATTGTAATTGCCCTAGCCGTAAACACGATATATATTTATAAAAAATACAGACACTAGATCAAATTAAATTAAATTTTCAAAATAATTCGCCATTTTTAATTCTATCTTGCTCTATTCTACGATTTTGTTTTATTGCACGGGAATTATCTAATTTATATGCCGGGTACTATCGCTTTTTTTTTGTCTTAATAAATTACACAAATAATGTACATATACACGTTTGATTTTGAAGATCGAAGCTGCATACGAGTATTTAAAAGAAAAAATATAAAAAATGTCACAAAAACGTGAGCTATCAAAGGATAGAGTACTTTTTCGAATATTGAAAACTAGAAGCCCGGCCGCTAGCAACATATGTGAAAAACTGGTATTTATCAATGAATAATAACTTCATATTTTGTTGGTATTATATCATAGTGTTAAGCTATTAATACTGCAGTCCCAACGTGTGTTATTCAATTATTATTTATTATAATTGATAGATTTATTCCAACGATAAATTTTTATTCGTGACGAATTGTTATTTTAGGATAACAATGTGAAGAACATTATCCTTTTATCAGAAGATGAACTTTGTGAACTGTGGCAACATGTGAAAACTATATTACTAAAGGCACAAAAATTATATAAACAAGCAACAAATAAGTGCAAATATATGAAGGTAAGATCATTTATATAAATGTTCTACATGATTTTTTTTTTAATTTTATTCCATTATCATTAATATAATAATAATAATTATTATTACTATTATTAATAAAATATATTTATATTATAAATTTCAGGAGTTCAATCTTATGGTCAAATTGATACGTACAATAACTTTCATGGCTCGTGAAACAATTGTACAACGAATATTTATACCCAACATTCTATTACAGAACATAATGTTACTACATTCTGCTATATTACCTAACATAAAAGACAAACAGGTTGATATTTAAATATTACCATTTATTCTCGTAATATCTGTGCTTTTTAATTTTAAATAAGTATTTTTCTAAGGCTAAAAATGAAATATCTAACTTGTTGGAAAAATGGTGGATATTAGACATGTTATGGAAAGAAAAAGTGATAACAAATACATTGAAGTACCTCATCCAGAGTTGCAAATCTTCATTGGTAATTATATGTCAAAGAGATAAATATATGCGTGTGTGCAGTGTAACTTCAAGTTACTGATTGATTAATTACATCTTTAGCAACATATAAAGCGTTTATATGAGATAAGGTCAGCTATCATGTTGTTAAAATGCACGGAAGATGTAAGAGAATTACTTAAACTTGTTCGAGAAAAAACTGTGATGTCACTCGAAGAAGGTCGAATGTTGATATTGCATTTGTTTACACTTGGAGAGCAATATATACTGGTACAAGTTATAAACAATATATTTAAATATTAATTTTTTATCAAACTTAACATTTACGTTAGTGATGTTTCAGGGAATTCACAATAATGTTAAAGTTGTGTTACAAAATATAGAACACAATTATATTGCTGCATATGCAGATTTGTATGTAACAGCATGTTTAAATGCAACTGAAAAATTTAAAAAATTTATTGTTGAGAATTGTTTACAAAACATTATTTTTCATTGTTTCCAAGCACATAGAGATAGCGCAGGAAGAGGAAAGCTTGGTAAAAATCTGCTTTTATTTCTTGCTGCTATGCATAATAACAAGAAACTTGCAGCAAGATTAATGATTCACAATGAATGTAAATCTTTAGTTTGGAATTATTTAAAGGTATTATCGAAATAAAATATACATACATATGCATACATTGTTATAATTGTAATACTACAATTTAAATTCTTGTTACAGGTTCCTGGTTCTTTCATCAAATGTAATGCTATAGAGATTCTTTTCATAACGAGTTCTGTTCAATATACATGTGTTTCAAAAAACAAAAATAAAATCTATATTCAAAAATATTATAAAACAATAACAGATCTCTTAAAAAATTCGAATCCTGAAGTATGCATTGTTACTATAAATGTAAGCCAATTTTACGTAATTATTGTTTTACCTAAGTGTTATAGAATAATTATTAAGGGAACTTCTAATATCTAAAAATTATCTCTCTTTAGGGTGTGTTTGAAATGTTAGAAAAATATTGGTCTAATGTTCCAATTAATATTATTCAAAACTGGTTAAATATCTTATTAGAACACACCAAGAAAGCCAATAATTCCGAAATAAGAGCAAGCATTTTTATTGGTCTTAAAAAGATATTAGTTAAAGAACGATCTCATAGAATAGTTAAGGATTTTTTACCAAATTTTGCAAATAGTATTTACGATGAAGATCAAATGGTATTAGAAGCATTAATTAAACTTCTTTATCATGCACAAAAACAACTGGGAATACCATTTTGGAATATAGTACCTTTGAGCTATGTTCTCGATCGTTTAGAGGTACACGCAATACAAAATAACATTCATTGTTTAGAGACAAAGATACTACATTTAGTGTCATTATTTTTAGACCACTCAAAATGCACTTGTTTTACAAGAATTGATAAAACTTGTCTGGTTACGTATATCATCAAATGGTACACATTATGATAAAATAAAAGATGAATTAGCACATATAGCCACAAGCAATATAAACGCCATTAGAAGATTTTGTTTGCATTCTAAATCTATTATAAGCTGGAGTACATCTACAAAACTTATTGAAACTTTATTACCTATGATAAAAGAAGAAATAGAATGTTTACCTGCAGCAAAAGTATTAAGCAAAAATTGTAATAAAAAAGCTAAAATTGTCAACAAGAAGAGTAGACACGAAAATGGTAATAATGCATAAATATATCCGACATCAAGTTTAAGTTTAAACTTAATAATTCCATTTATTTTAACAGATTCTTCAGTTAGTTGTAATGAAGATTTTAATAATTATAGAAATATAAATATATATATTGATGTTATTGCTATGTTATTAAAAGCAAATATTAAAGATACAGACGAAGAAAAATTCTATAATGAAGAAATGAATATTTTACAAGTAATAGCGCATGCATTACCAGAACTTTTTAAGTATTTCAGGGTAAGTTTCTGTCTTCTATCTATTCCGTAAGTTCTCGTAATATATAATTATTTCTTTTTTTTTTTTAGGAAACCCCAGTAAATGATTCAATAATATTTTTATTTTCTTTAATACCTCCGAAATTTTTCTTGAATAAAATTGAAGTTATCGAAATGTTGGTACAACAATTGTGTGATCCCAATACCTCTGATGAAACCCTTCTTTCAATTATATATCTTCTCATGAAATGGAATAAAGAAGATACAATTTTGTTTACATTGACGCATCTTTTTACGGAATCTTTAAATACAAGTGCGAAATATAATCAGGTACAGATATTACGTAATAAACATATTGATGAGAATAAAATAATACTATGAAATGTCTGTTTCAGTATACTATTAACTGTACAAATGATTTTCAAATTAATGAGAAAGGTTTAGAATTAAGTTTACGAATTTTAAAACATTTGCTACATATTGAATATCAATCAGTTTTAATGAATAAATATCATAAGGACATGCTTAAATTTTGGAAAAGTTTATATAAATTAAGAAGTTTAATAGAAAAAGAATTAAATAATGAATGCAATATAAGAAATCTAATATCCAAAGATATAATTATAAATTTCTTTAAAGAATATATATCAATGATTACAATATTACATAAAAAGGATGTATTTGACGCATCAGAACATTTTTCAGAGATTTTATTGTGGATCAGAAGGTGAAAATTAATTAATTAATTTTTATTAGTTTCTTCAAAATATTATTATTAATATCTTTTCTTTTTAACGTAGGACGATAGTGCCGCACATATCACATGTAGATGTGAACATTATGGAAAATCATCATATTTGTATAAAAATAATAAAAAATACTTTTGATGTGTCAAATTTACTAGTGAAAGAGTACAATGCTACTCCAAAACTATGTTGTGATATCGTACTTTTATACTGCAGTTGTTTATCATCATCAAATGGTATCATTTTTTTAAATGATGCATTTGATGCAATAATGATGTTATTAGATTTTAGTCAAATGGCTTATGACAAAAAAGAACCAAATTTATTAAAGACTATTGTACCAAACTTTATATGTATTACGATGGTTACTTTAACTAAGTATAACAAAGATATATTATTTAAATATACAAATGTAAGTATTTAGAAAATTATGTAAAAAAACGTGATATTTTCTATAATAACAAGTAAATATTAACTGCAGGACTTAAAAATACTGCAAGAATTAACGCAAAAATATTTTTCTGTTATTAAAAATACCTTTCATAACGAAAATTCGTATCTTTCATACATAACTACTATGTTTAACGTTGCAATCAGTAGTGTAAGTGCAGAAATAACATGTGAGTTACAATGCTCACACATAACGGAGGAATACATTTCAAGTACTCAATTTCCTTATTTAGCGAAGAAGATATTAAAAATTGTATTCGACCAAAAAAAATATCAAAAATTGAGCATACAAGTATTAACAAAGACAATAACAAATTGTACAAAAGTAAGTATATTTGTACTGTTTAAAATATATCGTTAGTCACACTAATTCATTTCATATTTCAGATTGACATGTTATCTGTTTTGCTAATAATATATAAAATGCTTAAATCAAATGATAAAAAAGTTATTAATTTACTTAAGAATGTTACATTAGCATCCAAAGTACATTACCAAAAGCAATCTTGTGATACTCCTTTTGACAGGTATTATTAATTTTTTATTTTAAAAATAAAAATGTATTAACTGTAATAATAATCGTATGATTGAAAGTGTTAATCTTATCTTTCCAGGTCTGTAAATGACGCAATAAATGTAGTTATAGATGCAATATTAAAAAAATAATACAATTACCATTTGTATATAAATAACTAATAGATGCTAGTATGTTCAATGCACAATATATTTCCATTTAGTTTTTTTATATATTAATGAAAATATAAAATATTTTTGTATGACTTAAAAAGATATTTTTCTACAAGAAGAGGAACTATGAAATTTATATCTTAGTTTATTAATTATAATATTGCGCATAATTAATAAAATATGAATTCTAAAAAAATATACGATATAAAATGAAATAAATATGTATAGTTTATTTAAGTCTAATCACTTTTTATACAAGAATATTTCATTTGTTTTTTATATATACAAAAAACTTAAATAAATTATACAAAATTATAATTATTAAAATAGCTATAAATTTTAATTTATAACTTAGTCTATTAATTTATAACCATTGCACGTTATTTAGCCAGAAGATGTTATATTTCTTATTTGTCTGACTGCAGCTACAACTCTGGCATTGCATCCAGAGCTGCTGTTCTGATAATCTTCCGGTGGTAGTCTTAATAAAAGAGACATATGTTGCAGATTTTCTGATAAAGATAGACCAAGTTCTTCTAATACATTACCGAGGTAATCTATAACATATATTACATGCATTCAAAAACTGAATAAAATATTTTTAATGCAAAAATATATACCTATGTCAGTTGCTAGTTGTTTACATGCGGCGGAGCTTAACTGGCAAATTCCTAATGTTTGATCTAGAAACATTTGGCATGTTTCTTTAGCAATAATTTCTAACAAAATACCAGTAAATCCAGATTCAGTGGAACTTTGTGCATATTGTGGATCTGCTGCTTTTAATGCCTGGGTAAGACTTGGATTTTCCCTAAGTAAAAAGGGTTCTAAATGCTGTGGTAATGTCATTAAATATTGTCCAACTTGTGTTATATATTCCTGAGGTGCAAAACTATAATCAGGTAAATCTGCACTTAAATGAGTCATTTTGTTAGTTTCTGTTGACCATGCTGGTGCTTTTTGCACTGATAATAACTGTGTAAAGATAGGAGCGAAGATTACTTCATATGTTGCACGATGTAAATCAGAACATAATTTCTGAATAGATTTTATTATTGGATCGAGAATTGTTTCTTCTTCTGTAAACGAAGACATTTATTTAAATATTAAGTAATAACTGAAGTCATTAGGATTTTTTTTATTAATTACCTTTTTGAAAAGATGCGGTTAAATTCTCCAATTCATTTTGGGTTGATATATTTAAAAGTAATTTTTTATACTGATTAAAAACGCTGCCACTTGTATTTTGTAACTTGTTATTAGTTTCAGTAATATCAATTATCAAAGATTTCTCAAATTGTTGAATTTGCCCCAAAAGATCACCTGTATATATAATCAACAATTTTGCTTTAAATTTATTTAGAAAAGAGAATTAAAAATACTACCTATAGTTTGCATCAAAGTAAGACACATTTGAAACAAATTCCAATCTTCATGCTTTACTTTTTTGCGTTCTAATTGCCGTATAGCCGTTTGATACTTTTCAAGATATTTATTGAAATAACTCTGAAAAAATAAATATTTAATTATAAATTAATATATATAATGAGAAACATCTTTATTTTAAAATTTTAGATGAAATAACATACAGTTAAAGATTTTAATAAACCAGGATAACCGCAACCATCTGTAAAAACTTTACACGTTTTATTGGCTTCATTTGCATATTCCATTACTCTTGAAATGCTAAGGGAAAGAATATTGATTGTATCACTTAAATCATCTTGTGGAGAGCCCATAGACTGCAGCTGTTGTTCAAGTTGAGCTGTTTCATAAATATTGTATTTTGTAACATATGGAACATAAGGTGCATATATTGCTTGCGCTAATGATAACAATTTTAGATTTTGTAATTTTCCATGTGATGATGTCTCAATAGCACCTTGCAAGTTTAGTGCAAAGTGCCTTGTAATTTGTTTAAGTTCAAGTAACAGTGATAATTGTACAGCAATTGAATGTTGTTTTAATAGAGCTTCTATACATTCTGGAATGCCTGGGTCCAAACTCCTCAGAAGATCTGCATATACCTCAATTATTACATCAACTGAGTCATTTGAAAATACTTGTTGAGACCATTTTACCTTAAAATCAAATTATTTTAAAAACGAAACTTATGGTATGCATTAATATAACATTTTTGAAATAAAAACTACCTGATCATTCCAATTAGATAATAATTTATCGTAATAAGTGTGTAACCAGTAAGAAACATTTTCATCTTGTGCTAATTCAATAGTTCTGCGCCATTCTTGTCCTAATGATACTTTCAGACAATTATGGTAGTATTTAAGAAGTTGTGGTAAACGTTCCATTTTATTAAAAATACCCACATAAATTTTGGATTCTTCTAAATATTTTAAAGCAAAGATATTAGTTCATGTTGTTATATTAAAAATACAACTATGATCAGTATGATATACCTAAATTTGCAGCAGTGAATGCTTGGACTAATTTTGGACTAGCCATAGCTTCTAATCGATTTTTCAAACCTTCTAATTGTAATTTTTTATCTTCATAATCAATAACATTTATAAGCATTGCCAGTGATTTTTGCATACTGAACAGTTTATTTGCTATAGCTTCTACATCTCCCGACTCAAATACCTGAAATATTGAAAATAATATTAAGTCAAAATTGATGAGGATTTGCTTATTTTCAATGCTTCTATATCATACTTCTTCAACATCATTGGCAAGTATACTCCAATTGTCAGCTTCGTGTAATCCTTGTTTAGCAGTTTGCAAGTCTGTTTTTATTTTATCTATTTTCTCTAACGTTGCCATGGATGAAGCAGTATCTTTTTCAACCTGTTTAATAAATTAATGTAATAAAGATATTTAATTGTTTCAGACAGATTTTATCAAAATTAAAACCTTTTCTATTTCTTGTTTAACTGCAATCATTTTTTCTCTCAAAGCCAAGGCTTCTTGTTGCAACAATTGGGTATCCCTCAATACCCTTGGCAAGCTTGAAAGAACAGATTGACTGGTCTCTTCTAAAGCACCATTAACTTGTTGCACGTACAGTTGTAATTTCATTACTAATGACGAAACGAATGCCTAAGAATGTAACGAAACTATTAAACTATTAATATGAAGGAACATCTTTTTTAATTCGAACATTATGACGATCTCGTGGCTGAATATTTATTTGTATAAAATAACGATTTTTTTATTTCTAGAACATTTTTTTATTTAATAAAACGATATTTTCATGCACAATATGGTGAAAAAAAAGTCAATCTTAAAAAAGACATATGGTGTCATTGACCGCGATGTAATGGAAGCAGTCAGTTTAGTAACTGACTGTACTAGTGCAACTGAAAGTCAAAAACTGTGTCGAGGAAAGAAACACAGCCCGCGCGATCGAGATTACCATAACTGTATGACTTACATCTCTGTTTTCTTGTGCCTCGACAGATTTGAACGTTTTATTAATCCAGTCTTTCACATCGAAAGTATCTTCGGAAAACGCAGATACGTCCTGAAATCAGTTTAAGGTTAGGAAAAATTTGATCTCATTTTGAGAATTTTCCACGTTTCTTTTCGCAGAATACGATTTATTTTAAACATCCGACAAACTGTACTAAACTTCTGAGTGGATATTTCATTCTCAAAATTTTTAATAAATGTTTCGTTGTTGCTTACCATGGTAAATGTGCAAATCGTTACAAGAGTTCTTGGATAACTTTTTTTTTTTTTAAATCCGAAAAAATGTAAAATATACGATACGAGCGACGATGTTTTAAGAGACGAAATTTATTTTCTCTGTATTTTATTACTTTTTCATAGATGCCGTGTAGCGCAGAAGTGCTTCGGTACACGGTCACTTTGCCGTTATACTTCGCGTGTTGTTTCGTGACGCGAAGCAAATCCAGAAGGGCGTTATTATCATATCGTTAACAAATTAACTCGTTCTCTCGTATTTCCTTCGTTTTCTTATATTCGTTATTATCAAGCACTTTCGTGCACCCCCGAAATACATATATATGTAGTGTTTGTAAGGTGGTATGATCGTCGAGCGGATCGATTGTGCAAATGTGCAACATTTATACATATTTCTGTAACGGTACGCAGTTCTAGGTTAATAGATTCAGTTGAACTCGATGTGAAAATACGAAAATCTCGGGAAATGACAACTTCGCCATATACGATAATATTTCGCACGTATGTGACGGTATTAAAATTTAACGATAACGAAACGACACAATGAAATGAAAAAAGAAAAAAAAACTTTAAAATTAAAACGACCGTTCTG